AAAGCCAAAGGATGGCAAAATGGGTAGGTTACTTTGAAATAAATAGCGGCGTTGCTCTCCCAGCTTAGCTGGTATACCAATAGCAATAGAGACTTCTGCTATTCGGAGCAATAAAAACATGGATGCCTATGCTATGGATAATGTTGAACTGAATGAAAAGGAAGTTGCAAAACCAACGCGGCCGACTGTGCGAAAAATGACGCAAATGCTTGAATGTAGGCTTTGAATCGGTGGAAAATCCATCCATCAACTAGCTGCGTAAAAACAACATAAAACCCGTTCAAACAACCTCAATACAAAAAAAAAAAACACATCACACGTGCGCATCTCATTGTATAAAGGCATATAGTATGTACATGTGTATGTATTTTATAACTTCGGTTAGTCCATATCTTCATCATTACTTCGGGAAACCCATATCTGCGTATATCTGTAAATAGCTCATCTATGTACATATGTATGTCATTAGACCCAAAGTGGAAGAGCAGCGTTTCGTGTTTCAAATGATGAAATATTCGCACAATCTAACCGCCATCAGTCAATCAAAACAAACAACAACGCAATACACAACATGATCCATCCATACAAAATATGCCACACAAATTTGGAAATTTGATGGAAAGTTCAAATAGTTAATCCGTCGTTGGAGAACACCAAGGGTTTGGTTTTTTGTGGAGTGTTATATAGGCAGGCTTCTCAACATCGCTTTGCTTACACGTATTTGCTGTGGTATGTGTGAGCTTTATTGAATGTTAATGAGCTTGTATCTTCAGGCTTAGCGCTACTTCTTTTCGTTTTGTCGTCGTTTGTCCGGTTTCTTTGTTTTGGTATTGTATTTTTGTCGTAATTTGTCTCTTGCTAAGAAATGCCGTCTCGCTGTGTCAATGTTTTGTTTTTTTGATTTTTCTTAAGGCTTGCAATCTTTTAAATGTCTATCTACCTACATATCTTTGCGATGTCTTCTAAGCGTTAAGAATGAAACGAGTTTTCTCAAAAGATAGGCGTGTTTTTGGCGCGTTGTTTCGAGAGCAGTTTATGTATGGGTGTTTTTTCGGAGGGACCTCGGACAGCTTTTGTACTAAAACTAGTTTCGCCATCAAACCGCAGAAACACAGAAACACCTTCGCCAATTTACTCCATAGGCTTAGTTTATTGAATACATATATTTGTAGTTAATTTTCAAAACCTTGTAAGAATCTCTCCCAAATTTATAATTCTCCACAAAACTGTCTGTATGTACATACTTGTAAAGGGTGGTCCAAAAGCAAAATTTCTTTTCCGCTATTGCTTTTTAAAAAAAATACGGTTTGAATTATAAAATTGGTTTCATAGAGTAAGTGCGAATATTATTTTAAATATTTTTTTTTTTAATTATTCATTTAAAAAAGAAAACACGACTATGGTATGTAATTTTTTTTTTTTTAATTAAATATACTTATAAAATATTTGCAAAAAAATTTCCTGAAAAAAAAATCAGTCATATATGTACTACATATGTATATGGAAAATTACATGTCAACTAAATTATGAATACGATTAAAAGTATATGTACTAGGGCGGCCCTTATTTTTTATTTTGAAAAAATTTCAAGTCTCACCCTCCAAAAAGTTGAGATTGGCTTCAAAATCAGCTGCCCAAAAATTTTTAATAATTTTTTTTTTTTTTTTTTTTTTTGAAGGCGTGGTCCAAGGGGCGTAAAATTTAATACAGTTCGTTTTGAAGATACCCATACTCAATTTCTTGGGGGGTGAGACCGATAATAAGCATAAAAACACCTATATATATATATATGGGACAGCCTAATATATGCATTAGCTTTTTTAGAATTTTGATTGCTAATAGCAAAAATATGGTTCATTATGCTCAAAAAAAAAATCTGTGTAAAAGATGAAAATGTTTGGTCAATATCTTAA